ATATTTAAATAAGCTGAATTCATTTGCATATTTACCATTAATTTCATGTACTGATAAATGAAAGATCAACATTAAAAAAAGATGTGCGCGGGAACAAGAATTCTCTTTGGCAATAAAACATCAATAGTCAAGTCTGTCCTCATGACAACATGGGCAAATTTCCATGCATTAATTTCAAGTTGTTATTTATTTAAAACAATGCATTGTAAAACTTTTACACAAAAATGTAATAATTATTTAATATCTGGTGTACAAATCAGTTCATTTCAATTGCAAAAATGGTCATTTTCGATTATAATATAATTTGAATTATTAGCATCACAATTTTTTTTAATATCCACCCTATAACTATAATATTACTTAATATGAGCAGACTATATTTGTTCTGAGGTATTTTATGTACTGTATTCACAAACTGGAAAAAGTTATTTCCCCTTGCAAGTGTCTGTTTAAGGATGGATAACTCTTGTTCATACTTTAATGCCTCTCTAAACAAACCCTCTTATCAATGATAAAATTTCTACCTTAAACAATGTATAATGAACTAATTCAGGCACCATGTATAGAGCTACAGGAGTTCCTCCCGATGTTCTGATGATCTATTGATCCCTGAAAGGTACCGTTCTGCATCATCACCTGAACCACAGTCCTTAATTAGTCAGACCTGCAGACTCATCCTAACATCATCAATCCAGCTGTCCCACAGCGACCTGATGCTGCGACAGATGCTGGCACTAGGGCCCTGTTTGTTGTACACAACCTGACATTTAATTGTCAGCTTAATTTTGTTCTTCAGGCTCAGTGCCAGTGATGTAATTGCTACTTCAAAAATGTCTTCTTCAAAAACTCTGTCAGTTGTTCACATTTTCATTAATGGTTCTTTATTTAAAGCTAATTGCAATCCTGTATTGATTTTCTTTGAAATCATGACATAGTAGTTTCAGCCTTTTGATCAACTTGTTATTCAAGGACATCATTTAAATACACTTTTAGAAAAACAATTAAAATTGATACTTCAAGGTCCAATACTGTAGATTGGCATAAAATAACCGCCCCACAATAATAGTCCTCCTGCTATCTATACAAAGCACATTTAAGTAAACCATTAAAAGAAGAGTTAAGCATGAAAAAAATCAAAACCACACAATTCAATTAAGAAAATGTTAACATACTAATTTCTAGAATTGACCTTTATGATTAATACTGACATTCTCATGTGATTTAATGATATCATCTCAAGACAAGTAATATCACATCATGTGAAGAGGTTGAATACCTTAATTAACTTTCTCTGAAGGACTGTATGATCAAAATTATTATTTTCAATAATTACCTGATGTTAAACTGTATGACATACATGTAGTATAAGGGATAAAGGTATTAGATTAAAAGATAAACTTTTGGAATGAAAAACTTTTATACATAATTAATCTAGTGTAAAATTGCGCTTTTAGAGTAAAATTACTGGAAAAAACAAGATGCATTTGTGAAACATTGATGCCCCCCCCCCCCATATTGCAGCTCATGTCTAAGGTTAAAATTTCTCAAATGCAAGTCAAACTCCAAGGTGAAGGTCAATTGAAAAAAGTCAAAATTAATGGTGCTCAACAGGTACGTCCTGTCACAAGAAATATATAAGTAAAATATGAACATCCCACCACCAACTGTTCAAAAGATATGACTAAGGTTTAAGTTTTTCAAAAGGAGACCAAACTCAAATGTCAAGGTAAAAATATTGTGGTGCCCAAGAGGTCTTGTTGTAAGGAAATAAAAACCCTAACAAGAACAGTAGGTATGGTCCTGGTAAAAATATTTTTTAAAGAGGGTCAAACTCCAAGGTTAAGGTCAAAATAATTTTAACCCAGGAAAAGGTCTTATGAAAAGGAATAGGAAAGCCCTAGCACCAACTGTTAAAAATAAAAACAAAAATTTGACCAAGGTTCAAGTTTGGTAAACATAGGTAATCAAAGATTACGAGGCTCACTGCGACGAATGTTATCAATATAAGTATTGCAAATCTCAAATCATATTTTCTTAACAGTATTTTTTCTGACAACAATATTCAAGCAAGTTCTGTTTAAATAGGTCTTAAAGTTCATTGGGATTGATCTGTTCCAAAAACGTTAACCTGGTCACTCGTTTGGAAAATGTAGCATCTGAAGCAAGTTTTGACTGTTCATCCTTAGATGCATCATCCATGCAAGTTTGGTCTAGGTAGGGTTAATAGTTACTTGGGAATAATCTAGTCACTAATCTGGAAAATGTAGGTCAGATCCAGCATCCGAAGCAAGTCTGGTAGTGTCCATCCATAGATGCATCAGCCATGCAAGTTTGGTCTGGGTAGGGCTTATAGTTACTTGGGAAGGGACCTGCTCCAAAAACTTTGACCTGGTCACTCATCTGGAAAATGTAGGTCAGATCCAGCATCCGAAGCAAGTCTGGTAGTGTCCATCCCTAAATGCATCAGCCATGCAAGTTTGGTCCGAGTAGGGCTTATTTTTACCTGGGAAGGGACCTGCTCCAAAAACTTTTAACCTGGTCACTCATCTGGAAAATGTAGGTCAGATCCAGCATCCGAAGCAAGTCTGGTAGGGCTAATAGTTACTTGGGAAGGGACCTGCTCCAAAAACTTTAACCTGGTCACTCATCTGGAAAATGTAGGTCAGATCCCGCATCTGAAGCAAGTCTGGTAGTGTCCATCCCTAGATGCATCAGCCATGCAAGTTTGGTCCGGGTAGGGCTTATAGTTACTTGGGAATGGACCTGCTCCTAAAACTTTAACCGGGACGCTGACACTAACGCCGACACTGGGGGTATAGCATAAGCTCATCTCGTCGAGGTGAGCTAAAATGGAGTTTTGCTCAAGTGGGTCAATTGATTGCAAGGTCAAAAGGTCAAAGAAAGGTCTTGTCACAAGAAATATACTTGAGAACTTCAGAAGTATAGTATGAAAGCTATGGCTCCAACCATTCAAAAAAAAACAAACAAACCCTAGCACGAAGGACAAAATTAACGTTTTGGAAGACAAACAGACAGAGACAGAGTGTTGGACAGGGCAAATACTAAGTGAAGTATGGAAAAAGTTACTCTAACAGTTTTTGCAGACCAATAGAAAGATTGCTAGACAGATGAAAAGACAATTAAGGGGAAAACTATATGCCCCCATACCTGCAATTCTGGAAGCATAGTTATTTTTAAGTTCACAAAATTAAGACTCATATATTTCACATTTTCATAGTATTTGGTTATTAACATATCACTGCATACTTGATGCTCCAATAAAAAAAGAAGCCTAGCTAAACCATCCCCCAGCTGTAAAAATCTGTTACCTTTCCTAATATATACTTGGTAAAATGAACTACTGGACAGATTTATAGCATTATGTTGACTATACGCAAAATCATTTTCAAGGCAGTGACTTTTGATGCAAATTTTCTTGACCGCTATGGTTTTTGAACAGCAATAGTTCCATGAGGTCAACGAAATCTGTGAATGACCAAGCAGGGCATTTTCCAGGCTATATATAGTGTTAGTAGGACCATAAATAGACAATATGGCAGCTGGGATAGATCAACTTCAGCGAATGTGCACACTTCATTGATATCACTAACTTTTGGACGTATAACGCACAGTTAATGAACAAGCTTACTGGACAAGAAAGGACATTGGTATGGTGACCTGCCATTCAACTGCATACATGTCCTTATAAATTCAAACACACCTCTCATACATTATAACAAGATCATGATCATGGGAAAGGACTACTTGCAAACAAAGGAATATTACCTAAAGATAACAAAAAACATCAGCTTTCTTATAGGGAAGTAATGTTGGTAATCCATGTATTGCATAATATAGTGTCATTATCTCCGCTATAGGAGAAGGGTGTTTGTGATGAATCAATGATGGCAGACTACAAACATTCCCTCCTGTAGCGCTAATATGCTAACAAATTTTGATGAATAGATGTTATGCCTCATTTATACTCAATTTAACTGTCTGAAGTCAATGTTTAAACCACTTTGTTTTGTTAAAAACTTGAATATTTATCATCTGATCGTCTCTCAAAAAAATGATTTTATATGAGTTTCACACAAAAAATTTGTTATGTGAGCTGAAAATAAAATGTACTTTTCATAATTGGATAAAAGCATTCCATAAAACCTTTTACTTGCTTTTCAAATGATCAACTTTATTCACGAAATCAAAAGCCTGACTTTTAGGGTAGGATATATATTTGCCCAATAAATCTGTACATGTCAATGACAGTTCCGATTGTATAATTATTTACCTCAGTCAATAAACTTGAAAGGGTATTTCAGCTCTTAAAAATTTCATTACATAGTTAAAATATATCAGAATGCCTGGCACCTCCTTTAAGATGAATTTTAAAAATGGTCGTAAAATGTCGTCAGATCATGTTGAATTGCCAGTTTTTAATAACCGCATTTAATGATGTTTTGAGGGATGAAATGATGCGACTTGGGCGACACATGTGTATATACTTCAGGTCACAGTTCGACCATCAAAGTGCCTCATCAATATACAGAAGCCTTCTGTCGTAATTACCATGCACTTAGCCCACTGGTGCGTGGTGCAAAATTTTATATTGCTATGGTAATCTATGCCTTTAGGGATGAAATAAATATTTTGTTTAGCAATGCTGGCAAACTAATCTATCTACATCAATTTTACAATTCAACTTGCATAATGTTCGTTTCTTTTTTAATTTCTCCCATAGGTAAAGAGATGTGTTAAATCTTTGTTATTCAATGATGCATTGTATTTATTCATTGATCAAGAAAATTGACACTCTATTGATTATCTTTCCTATGAGAAATTTGAGGAAAAAAAGCATGTATATTGAATTCAGAAACACTTTCCTTGCCAAAAAGTTTTAAATTTACCCTGTATGGTCTGAAATTTTAATAAAACGTCGTACGACTGTAACAGTAAGTATTGTCAAATTATATATTATAATTATCAAGAAAAAAGATAAATTATAATCAAACAATTTTTATTTGAATGACAATTTCTTAATTCAATAAATCCATATGTCATACCTTTCATAGGAAACTCTAAAGTGGACTATCATTTTGTTTTCTATTTATACAAAAGAAAAATCTAATTGCTTATAAAACAAACTTTAACTGTACTCTAAAAACAAAAGAAAAGCTGTTACACAGAAATATGTGTATCCCTGTTTTTAAAATATCACAGATCTAATGTATCACATTCAAATTACAATGGATGGAAACTTTTCCAGTACATGGTACGTACACAAATAAAAAAAGAAGCTTTGATATACCACCAATGTCGGATATGCCCTAACTGGGAATGAAGGCAGTGATAACTCACACCTTATATTGATAACACCCCCCTCCCATAGGTCCCCATGTTAATATCACTTATACAATATGGTGCAAAATCAATCATAAAATTCTGTTACTATCCGATAAAATGAAAACTTACATACAATTAAATAAATTGCAAACCTGATTTAACTGAAAACCACATTCTAGTTAGCATATCCAATGGTAAATAATTTAGCCTCACAACATTCCTATCAAAAATGTTATATGAGGAAAGAAGTTTTATCCCCTCCCCTTTCAACCCTTAAACTGCTCCAAGAACAGCACATAAATGCTATGCTTATACACATTAAACAATTGAAAGATATTGTAATACTTTCCTAATTTTGTTCAAAATAAATTGCATGAGAGAAGACAAAGAGAAATAATAATTATGGTCAATGCCTATCACATACACTGAGTTCTGTTAGGGTCTTTGAAATCTAGGACTTCATACAAAGTCTTCTCACATTGTATTTTTTAATTGAAAGAAATTTCATAGTCTGTAGAGATCAATTTTATATTTATGTCAGTCATGATATCATAGGTTAGGTCTAATATCAAGAAAATGACATCAATTCAAAATTTCAATGATTCCAAGAGAAAAACGTGTATTTTATGTCAATATTTGATTTATTTATAAAAATAAAATCAATGAGCTTATATAGGTCTGCCTCACCTTAATCTTTTGGTATAATATCTAAATTTTAATTTCAGTTATATGTCTGTCTCTCAAGTTGTACGTGTAAGAAAGAAAGAAAAATATGATCTTTTAAATTCAAACATCTCAAAATAACAGATATTAATGCATATCTTATTAAGCCAGATACCTGACCATAATCCCCCCTGAACTGAATAACTATAACCACATCATAAGTTAAAATGCTACTCTGAATTTTAATAAATAAAACCCATATCCGTAATGTAAAATGAAATGATATGTAAATCCCAGAAGAGCCACAAAGCGCCACAACGGCAATCAATCTAGACAAGCGCTCATTTCCTGAGGGTGTGGTTTTTATTCTGCGTCTAACAACAGTTCATCAATATTTGCTGATTGAAAATGAGGAGGCTCGAATAGATTAAATGAGTTTTCATTGATTTTTTTTTTAGCTTTCATCACAAAAATGACTACATGAATTTCCTCCATTCCCTTGCAGAGAAAATGCTAAATTCTTTGTCCTAATAAAAAATTAATACAAACCATTAATTTAAAAAGATAATTTTACAACAAAATCCTTTTCCACAAAACAAAAACACCCAAACACTAACAAATTATGTTCAAAAAAGAACTATAAAATAAAGGCTAATTAAAAAACTGAAAATGCCTTATTTGGCAACATATAAAATTATCAAAACAAATAACAAATGTAAAATACTATAACAAAGATTAGTATAAATTTCAAAATACATTGAACAGGAAGTGACATCATCACTGCTGACCTCTTGACTCTTTGACTATCTGTTTGGAAGCTAGGGACAGCTGACTACAAGATTGACTGCCTTTTCCACGGAGCATGGAGTTGGTAGCTTTAGAGAACACGGAGTCCAGACTGGCACTGCTGCTGCTGTTGTTGATATTCTTACCATTTTTATCAGTGATGCTGCATTTACTGGCTAGTTGTGTCTCAATGGCTAAGTTACTCCTTCGTATAGATTCCGTGTTTTGATTGGTTGCTCCTGATGACCTTGTGTTTGAGTCATAATTCTGCAAGGAAGCCATTGAGCTGCTAGTGGAAAGAATCTGACTCTGAAGATCCATAGGTGTTGCATTTATATCATCCTCATCTTCTTGTCCGACATCATCTTCCTGGTACAAATAGGTATCATCATCTTCTTCATCATAATCTTCATCATCATATCCATCTTCTTCATCATCTTCACCATAATCTTGATCTTGTTCCTCAAATTCCTCATCTTCCTCTGTTTTCTCAGCCTCGGCCATCTGAGCTTTCTCAGTCTCTTCATTTCTCTCTTCTCCTGTTGTCATTTCTTCCTCGACCACACCTTGACCTAGTTTCTCCTGATCACTTTTTTCAGATGATGGACCAGCTTCAGAACTTTTCTTCTGCTCACCAGAAAGTGAAAACACAGACTTCTTGCTTGGGTTGAACTTCCTTCTTTTCCACTTATGTTCTGGGCAGAAGCTACAGAAATAAACAAACACTTATGAATTATATGAACAGTATTCATCTATCATCTTACTTAACTTTGAAACAGAATATCTTAAAAACAATGGTTTTTTTCTTAAAATTTGTGTGCAAGTATAAAATGGAACATATCTGGTAAAAAAAACTTTTGCAATTAATTTTGTTCTGTTCTTGGTGCCCAACATGCTTGGAGACTGAGAAACATGGACATGTTGCATTTATTATCTTATTTTGCCAGATCTGTCAATCTGTATTGCCAGATCTTCAGATCTCTATTGCCCACTTACAGCTTACTGAACAGGAAGAAAAATGAGGGATTCAGGTCTAAGTCTTATTTATTTATTTCTTACACCCAAGCAGGAATCAAAGTCAGGCATAAAAGGTATGCTGTAGAAAAATGGCAAGTGTATTTGGATGAATGGGCAAGTTAATAAGAGTCCAGCATGCAAGCCTGTCATGTTTACAAGTTTAATTAAGGTATTTCGTGAGAAGACTTCTTGCATATTACCAGCACATAGAAGTAAAGCTGACAGGACATGCTACAGTGTGATAGGTCTACTTAGGAGTGGATTTCTTGTCCGTTTGATCACAAGGAATCCATCACTGAAGTAAATCTACTACAGCAGGACTAAGTACCCAGCTCAGCCACACTCTTAAATAAGCCATAAATTCCTGAAATAGGTCTTGTGTTCTACACAATATTTTATAGCTGTATAATAAACCTAAACGTCTTGGGTTTCTTATTGAACTGCAAGTCAGACAGTATTTTTCTGGATATTCCTGATTTACCATTAATGTATTAGTCTGGTCAGGTACAAACTCTGTGATCTAAAACAGTAAGACGAAGCAGAGGAAATTGAGTCGAGTTGCTAGGTAGCAGAGTACGGAGAAGAACAATAATAAGTTGCTTTGTCAGCCTCTATTTGATTTTTCTTCCTCAGACCTGACTGCAGGAGATGTCCAATCACTTAATTTTCTATCCTCTCACAAGAGACTAGCTGGGAGCTTATCACTTTTTGGTTAAAAATAATTCATCAAAAATTGATTAATTGCAGGGCATAAAATCTTTTTATCTTTGGGATAAAGTATTAAGAAGATCAATTCTGGAAGCCTCCATCCTCTCTGATATAGTATCAGGCCACGCAGCAGCCAGCAGTCCTTTATTTCCTAAACAATTCCCAATTTATGATCTTTTTATACACACCATTTACTCTAATGTTAATTAAACAGGACCTACTGATATTCCATTCCAATAGACACACACCACTAGGTTGAATATCCTGGTCCAGGGCTTTTTTGTAACACAATAGCCAATATCAAACTATGCATGCATTAAAAAGCTTTTAAGTTAAATTGTTACATTTGTATTTTGTTTGGGCATCCATTTTGTCGTCTTAACGTTAAAAGCTTATGTTTTACATTGATTACAGTGATTACTTCTGACATTTAATTTTCCTTTAGGGTTGTATACAACTGTCTTTCCTCATTATCCTTATGGAAACTCAAATAGTATATATAGCATATTACGTTTAATTTAATACTGTAGAAGCAGAAATTTTTGTTGGTAGTTGGGATAAAATGTCATTGATTTGTGATCAATAATGCTTTTATAGGGATAAAATTTCGTTGTTTCAAAGTTAACAGATCAATTTTGATCATATGAAAATTTTGTTTGGCATTTAATTTCGCTAAAAATAAAAATGAAATAAATCAAATTTATTCTTCAATTCAGTACCATGCCTGGGTACTATTTATAATGCTAGTAATTACTATGTTTATCTCCAGTTTTTAGTGGTTGTAGGAGGTCTGTATTCTCATTTCTGCCCTATTCCCAGTGTTAATGTTGTGTTTTCCTCAATGTCAAAAAAGAAAAGATGACTCTAACCATAAGCATCATTTTAAAAAAAAAAGCCAAAACTCATTAACATTTTTATCATAGTCAGTGTTTAAAAAAATCTAAAATGCTAGTCCAAAAACAGATTGATGGAATGAAGAATGTAAATTAAAAAAAAAAACCTGATGTCATGATCATTACACTAGAAGTAAGAAATCAATTTGAATGCCTATGAATTTCAAAAACTAAGGAAAATTCTACATTAAAGAGTGGTCACATGGGTGTGCAATTTGTTTATTTGTGATTTGCTGTTTAATGGGAATTTAAAGCATCCTCTCCCTACCCCAAAAAATTATCATCATTAATATTATATGGGACTTAGGTGTAGGGCAATATGTGATTATAAGGACCAATATCAAGTATTATCGACCTAACTCACAGAAAGTGATAAATTAGACATAAAGCTTGTGAAGTCCCTACCACTTTCTGTGTCTGTGGTCAATATCTCTTGACATATGGGTCCATATACCCAATATTGACCTTTCAAAATAGCTACTATACAGTTACTCTCAGCCACAGTTGACTCGTGTCCACTGTGACACTGTTTCAGGTTGAAACTTGAGAATGGTCCATACCAGACCATTATTCCAGCTTGTGCTTACTGTACCTTTTGCATGTCCCTGCTAGCCATGTGTCTATGGACTTGAAGTAATACTGCTCACTATGAAAGCTCTTGGGTTGGAACTTGTAATGGTCAAACACCTGTACCTTTCCTTTGTTCCATCGAGCACCAATAGTTTTACAACCATTCCCAGCCCAAATCTCTACATGGGTCATATGATGTTTCTGCTGCCGAGCTGAAAAAAAAATCAAACCAAAGTTATCTTCACCTAAAGACAAAATCTCACCATGAACAGTACAACATTCAACTCTTTTTAAAGATTTTTTTTCTCCATTTCTTCATGATTTTAATTTTTAAGGTATTGCTCCCCTAACATGCTCAGATTAAATAAATTTTATACATAACAAATATGTATAGGTTGAATACTCAGCCATCTTCAGTAGTCAAGAGTTCAATTTCTATCCCCTAGCTCACCTCCCGAGGGGTTCGAATTGGACACTTGACTAGAGATGATAAATGCGGAGTACATTTAAATATATTTCCAATTTATTACGATCACAATGTAAAAGAAGAGAGTTCTAATTTATGACCTTGATCTGTCCTTGTAGTGTCATTACCCTTTGTTTCTAATTGATAAAAATCAAATTTAAAAAAAATCTGTCCAGTGAAAAATTGCTTTCTTTCATTACTCAATTCCTTATGATTAAAGACATCTATCAATCACAGCATTTTCTGATATTTTTAGTATTTATTTAAAAATTTGCTTGTCATCATAGACCTCAATGCAATCTATTTTTTGATTAATGCTTAGTTATAAATTTTTTTGAAAATTTTTCTTGGTAAATCCTTCCCTTTTCTAAATGGCTTAGCATTAATATCAGATTATTTTGTACATGATAGATATCTAAGACAGAGAATTGGTTCCTATTAAGGGTGGACTACCTTAAATAAACTGAAAGTAAAATCAAGTCCATCTCTAGGGAATTAAGTGGATCCTTGATATTTTGATCTCGGTTTATTGATTTCTTCTCTCATCTTCAATGTTGAAATTTAATATCATTTAATGGAGTGACATCGGGTAACAAATGAGGGATCCTCACTTTAATTATTAATTCTAGGCATACTTGAACTAAGTGGTCTTTTAACAATGTAGGGACAGTCAAATATGGTTAAAGCAAACACACTTATAAACAAATAATACTTATTTTAAGAGAAGTTATATTAATATCCTTTGTAATTGTTAATTGCATTATGAGCCTATTGGAGTGTTAAATCTCCTACATCCTTAAAGAACCATTTGTATTCAGCTATTGTTTTATTTTACGGCTAGGAAAGCTAAACTGTAATTCTAGGTTCATTAAGCTAACGATACTTAGCTAACAGTAATATTTAGCTAGAATATTGTAGTTACTGATACAAAGTCAATAGTTGTTACTAATACCTACTAGAATAAACAAAGTACATGTTATATAAGATAATAATTGATTTAGCTTCATTTTTCTCTGAACCTTAACAAAGAATGTCACATTAACTGGAGAGCCATGCTCAAACGAACCTAACTCGATATTAAACATTCTCTGTGTTTAACATTCCTTTTTATATTAATTATCCTTTAACAATCAATCATTTTCTTTACACAGGTTTACATCTAAATCCCCACCCTAAAATTAACCCTGCCAATTTAGTTTCTGAGCCACGCTTACTTAAAAATCCTAAACTGTACCCAAGTTCTCCAAGTCAAAAACTGCTCATGTACAGGATCAAGGCCCAAACTATTTAGCAGCCCCACATAGAGTGGTCTTTGTCAGTGTGTCGGAGGATCGGATGGCCAGATCGGGCCAATTACCTCAGCTTAGGTGAACTATGACAGGTATTTGGGAGAAAATGTTTAAATCTGTCTATAAACCATGTCCTTGAATTGAATATAAATGTTGTCAAATCTCTATATTGGTTACACTTGGGTTAGGACGTATGAACGAAAATGTGGATTCAAGTTCAAAATAATCTGCCCAAAGCTCTCTGGGTTAACCTCATCAAAGAGTTTATTGTGAAGAGATATACTGGTAAAACTGTTTAAATAAATTTAGCCAAGTAAAGAGAAGAATTTAATTAATGCTTGAGAACCTTGGAGACAGTCAAGTATAGAAAACTAATAATAAAGTCACTACTGAGATATAGAAAGGTGGTAAAAGGTTTTTAATATCTGTCTGAACACAATTCTACAATATGCCCCAGTAGAAATAAAATTTGCTTTTGCAAGAAAAATTCCCTTCTCCTTTTTTATTTTTAAATTTTCCTTATAAGAAGAAATCTTTTTATCTATCAGGCACCAAAGACAGAGTACAGGAAAAACAGAAGGAGTTGGTTCTTACTCATGACAAATTTTATCTTTAAAATCCTACTATTTTCATGGGAACTTTGTTTTACCTAGTTTTACCATAACAAACTCTGGGAATGATAAAGTGACTGTAATCCCTGAAGTGTTTTACACAAATTGGGACTGGGGTAGGTGCTTACATTTGGGATTAGGGTAAATCCCCGAGATGAAGACGAGGTCCCCCGCCTTCATATCCTCCTCTCTCTCTATCGTGATTGGCAGTGTGTCATACATGTAGGCCTGGTTCCACGGACCAATGCGGAATCCAAACTCCTTCCTCAAGTCCAACATAACCTGTCGCACCAACCCGCAGCAGTCAAGAAAGCGCTTGGAGTAGTATTCCTCATCTAAAAACATTTAATTCAGTGTGAATGAGCTGGGAGGAAAAAAAGATTCTCATACAATAGAATTTAAATAAATCAGCATTACTCGGCAAAAACGATTGTCCCACTTCTGTTGACTGACTCCTGGCTTGTATTCTGTTTCTCTTCATTTATAGTATTCAATTTTTAAATACATCCATTAACATGCATGCATATAGTGGCTGGCATATATTGCACAGAATGATCACAATGCATGACATTATAATATTACATGCAATGTGGATATATAAGGGTCCTTTACCCTCTGGGTTCCAGTATCGTTTGGCATATGGTGTCCCGAAATATTTCTTAGCCTGCGCGACAAACTTGGCTCTCAGCCTCTGCATCTGCTGAGGATTTCTCTGTTTTTTCTTCCTTCTTCGTCTCATTTTCTTTTGGTTCCTGATCTCCTTCTGTAAATATACATAGGTAATGGAGATCACTTATGTAAGTGATTAAGATAAATTCATTTCTTTTGGTACAATAAAACATTTGTGACTGGAGGAAAAAAATATTGGTTTGTGGGGATTTTATTTGATTGCTTGCAGAATAACATACTTTAGTCTGAATTTTTAACATTTAGTGGAGGACATAGATTCGTGGGTCATTATTAAACTGTCTTATAAAACGTCACTACGTGTTAGCACATCATCTACCCAAGTTGGAATTTTTTTTTTAACAAAGAAATAGGCTTGTTATGACATCATACAATAACACATATATACATGATCATAAGTGAAACATTCAACACACTGCAAACAGTACTTATACAAGTATATGTCTGTGTTTGTTACAAGATTTTGGCTAGATCTGGACAGCATAATAGCAAACTATTTCAACAACTTCATTATTTCTAATGCCTAATTGCAGAAAGTTATGTAAGCCACTAAGAAATTTATTTTTATTCCTGGTAATGATGGTCTTGTTGTTAAGAGCAAAAGAAAGAAAAAAATCCTTAAAGACAAAACATGTTATCTAGAAAATCTTTCTACATAGTGAAATATCTTCCACTTCAAGTGTTTTGAATACTGAATTCACTGTTAGCTCCATTTAGTGCAATTATTTAAATCCTTAAAAAGAGTAAAATATAAACGCCACTCGGAGTTATTTTAATGCAAACATAACCTTAACCTTGTTTTTCATTCTTTTTATGCAAGTCTTTTTACGACTGCCCATTTCCTTATTATCCATCTAGAAAAGAGAAGGTGACATAATTAAGAAATTCAAGACCCCAAAAGGCATAAAAACAGTCTTCTCTTCGCAAAGGTGTGTAACCATAGCAATTAATATGTAGAAGTTGCATAATACCCTGTAAATACTAAGCTGACCAAGCAGATATCTGTCTTAGAGAAACATGGTGGAAACCTTTTTCCTTGAGTACCAGTCTATGCTTGTCGCCTGCAAGACACAGTTGTTTGTTTCTTATCAACCCAATACTTATAAAGAGAGCCATTTCAGATTAATCAAACATTATTTACTTCCATATTAAACCTTCGAGAGAAGGGCATGACCTCTGTGCTGTCAGCTAAGATCACCTTTCTCCCCGCTTCTCTCTCTCTCTCTGATTCCAGTATCTCTCCCCATAAAATTGATTACCCAAATCAAATATTGATTAAACAATTCAGATTGAGAGAACCCTTGTCACTACCCTGTCACCAAGCTTGGCCAACCAACAACGAACAATGGACACCATTTGTCCAGGACAAATATGGCTTTGTTGAGTGTCTTTGTCAGATTTAATATACTTCACTCCATCAGGAAGTTTTATGAAGGCAGTGTAAGCTAATTCTTTCTTTTCTTCTCCTAACCACATTTAAATGAGGTGTGCCAAACTGTTTACAAGTCAGGAAGTTAAAGTCATGGTGACAAGTCCCCACAAAATCATTTCATCTTTTTTTTCACTGAGAGGAGTTTCCCCTCTTGACTTTCACTTTAGAAATCACTTTAAAAATATTTACTCCAAGAGGATCATACAAATAGGGCTAATACATATTGCATTATCATTGCTAAAATGTATTTATCTTTCCAACACAAAACCTCATTAAAAACAAACACAAACAATTTAAAACTGTTCATTTAAACACAAAAGATAATGAGTATGCAGACCCCAAGAGTATCTACAAAATCAATGTTTGTAAAATATTCGACTCGCGGCCACCGTCAATGTTTATTGTACGAGGGTCCCTTACACCTAGGAAGCCCCTGACACAAATAAAAGATACCATAACGACAACAATAGCTGGGTACCAACCCACCCCATAATTCTTTGTTCCTGTCCACTCTGAGTGCTCGAGATATTGACAAGACAACTGTAAATCACGATTAAGCTCCGTTAAGCATCGTTTCTCGGCTGTCATCAAACCGTCCACAGAACACAAGACCCCCTCCATAAAGATAACCCCAGTATGATAAGCTGATAAAGCCTGGCAATTTCTCCAAGATATCTGCCATATTAACCACTTTAAAATGGTCCCCCAAACCAATTACAGTCCTGTTACCATGATAAACCTGATCTTTGAACTACTGGCTGCAGAAGCATCACAGTTTTTGGCACTTGTTCCTATCAATTTGTAGTGAAAAAGTTAAATAAGTAAAAATTGAACAGTTGATGAATAACGAAAAATCAAAATCTATATTTAAAAAAATCGTCATTCAACAATTTCTATGCAGGTATATACTTTATCTCCCTGTCTTTCTTTCATTGATTGCTTTTGAAAATTTTCTAATTTTTTTTCCAGGTTTATTTAATATGACATGAATATTGCATTGTCCATGAATGACAAGGTCAAGTGGTATCAATGACCTGGCAGAGCAGAGACACTAGCCAACTACTACCACCACAAAGACACATAAATATCAGAGTGATCAGTCTGGTTAACGATCATTTGGGGACAAAGGGAGATAATTAGGGACATGACAGTGTTTGTGACTGCCCGGTCAGCAGACAGTGAGGGTGACAGTTATAGGAGGTTTATGATCCTTATAATAAGCTGACCAGCTCTCAGCTATTACAGAAAAATCATCTACTCCCTCTAGCAAGTCTGTTTTTCTTCTAGTCCTTTATTAGTGTGAAATTTGAGAAAACTGTTTTTTTATTTGCAATTTCTGAGTCCTAGGGCAGGAAAACATATACCTGAATATTGCTAATATAGACGATGCTTCATTATGTAAAACAGAAGAGGACTGTAGTATGTGTATATTGCCAATCAGTGTTTCCACTGTAACTAATTAAACATGCAAAGCAATTAACAGATCCAGCAACTCTCATTAAAATTTCAGATAAAATATATTTGAGGTGCATCAGTGAAATACTAGCCCTGGTGGAACAGGTGGTTGATAAGACATTAGACTGAGCTTTTAAGAGGACCCAAAACATGATATTGCTGAACATAATGAAAGTCATTTTCTAGCAATCACCTGGAACAGTTCCCTTGAAACCAGATGACTACAAACAAAGCAACAGTGACAACACAGTGCAATCAGTTAATGCTACTACTAAACAAATCAGAGGCTCAAAGGATGTCTTGTGACTTTTGTTTACTGACTAACATGTTTGCTTCATTAAAAACTCTTTTAAGTTTAAAATGCAACTCTCATCTATATACCAGACAAGAGCATTTTCCCTGAATATTGAACAGTATTTAACCAAATCGCAGTTTACTTTTGGACACCAAATTGACCAGATTAAACTTAAAGTTTACACCGTATTAGACAAGACTTAAAACAAGAAAATATACTGCAAGGGATTTCAAGTTTATACTGTATTAGACAGGATTTTGGATAAAAAAGATCTGGATTAGACAAGTTTCACTATACTAGCTTTCCAGTAGGAGAAGACCAGCGTAAGGCATAGAATTTGTTGTCCTTCCTTTCCTGTTGACTTTAGCATAGGAATTAGGATAGTCTAGACAACCTACATCTATCAAACAGCCCAATAATGTTATATATTAGTATTAATGCAACCACTTAATCAATCTCTCCACAAAATCCCCCTGTTAATTGTGTATCATCCCAGCTTTTAATAGATGGTTTATTATACATTAAATATATGCACCAGGACTCATTTCTTGCAGTCAGTGTAATTATGGATGAGAACATTTCTGATAGATCTTTTCTGCATAAATTTATATTGTTAATTTGAGCCACTCTGTTCTTCAAACCAATAGATTGTCTTGTCAGCCAAACCTTTCAAGTTGGAGGTAAAGAATAGATTTGATGGATCCCACAACAAATGAGAATAGCAAATTAGCCATAAACATTTTACATAATCTATCAATTTGACATTTTCAACTCATCATTTTAACATGGCTGAGGACTTGTTTCTTCATACTGTCATCTGTTGTCAGTGTTTTCCTTTGAATCGATAATGGAATGATCAGTTGACTCACTAATATGATTAAAAGCCTGATGAATTGCATTTGAAGAGACTGGTGATTCTGTTAAGGTTTCTTGAAAATCAAATATTGACTGTCACCTTCCAGGAATTCCAAAACTTCTAAAAATGTTTTCCCCCTTGAAATATTTTTACTGTTAAGAGCTCTTTATAGATACCTTATTGAGTAACATCCTGCAAAATGCAAGTTTATATCAAACACTCAAAAGAGACAAAACATTTAGAGGTCATAGAAAATTGAACAATTTCTCATGCATGTTTCAGCAAATTGTAATTTTTTCTTCAAAATGACAACATGCTTCGCTGCTATTTGCCAAAATTACATCTTTGAACATCAGCAGCTCAGATTCACAGGTAGACTTGCAAATCCTCTGTTTTGCAAAGCAAATAAAGTTTTGATGAAAATTCATGAAAAAGGGAAAAAAAAAATTATCTTGCAGCCTGTTAGAATGCTAAAAATTCAAATCAGAATTAAATCCTGGCTTTGGGCCAGTCAGCATTTTACTTCTAAAGTACAATATCTTTCACAAATTTAACCGCCAGGCCCAACCTTACCATGTTTTTCCTTTCTAAAACATGTTTAATCAAAAACAACAATAAAATAAAATGCTGTACTTGCAAATAAAAGGAAAAATTTTTGAATTTATGGGCAAAAATATCAAATGTGGAGATCTTTACAAATATTTTTTTTAAACCCTCTAGTTCGGGATATATGTTCTCTAGCCTGCGAGATCTAGATAGACCAGCAAGCAGTAAAAGTTTAAAACCCTTACTAAAAAGGGCCCATAAAAAAGGATATCAATGAAATATTATGCACTTCACTCCTATTTCTAATATCAAATAAAAGGTTCTTCTTTTCCAGAAAAAAGTTTTTGTAATTTTTTCAACAGCATGCACTTGCAATAAATGAAAAGGTAATTCCCTCTAATGAAATTTTGCTTTTAAATTTAATCTGTAATATGGATACCCTGCCTGGATCATAAAAATTTCTGGAATCACATCAATTAGAGGATATATATGAGATTTTATACTCCAACACTTGTGACTCAAAATACCATTTCATTCTATTGCAATTAGGTTTTACTTGCTTAATGTAAAATGGACAATTTAACACAACAGATCAAAATCTCTCTATGTGTTATTCCTATGTTTTTAATGTAGATGGAGAGAAAGGGAAAATAGAAAGAGAAATCTAACTGTTGACTATGCGACAAAGTTGTTAAGTTACTGCAACACAAAGCCTTGGTGTTGTTCATACCTGACAACAAACAGAACACCTGTCTGACAATTAATAATTTTTGAAACTATACAATGTATCAGATAGGGCTTGAAATCAGAACTAAGATTAAAACTAGAGGTATCATGCAGGGTTGGCAGTCTGCTTCTGTATCCACAGTGTTACATGCCACTTGCCGTATACTCGAATCCATCACAACAGAACATACAAACAAGGGCATGCAACATTTCCCTTCTGCCTCCTTCTCATCTGTGGGTTGCTGTTGACCGGTGCCTAGTAACAGTGTATACAATCTCCAACAACAGTATACAACAGGCAAAATGCACCTTCCCATGAACAGATGTCACAGATCATTTCATTGGATGAAAGAGAATACCAGGATGTAGGACAGTAGCTATCATCTGTGTAATCAAACCATCATCCATAAATCATGATTTACTAAAAATCAATATATTTTTATAGTGTTCTCCACCAAAAATATATTTAATACTCTGAGTATCAGATAATGAAATTCTCTGTTGATTTTGAACCAAATGACACTTCAGCATCAAAGGACTGTCAAAAAAGTGTAGTAAAACTGATCCATTAATGATGCCTTGATTACACAGTGGGAATCTAAAACAGAACAAACAGAATGGTAGCCACGAAACCCTAGATCTTAAAACTTATGGTCATGTCAAAAAAAGATATTTTTCCTCTCACTTCTCTGAATACAAATGGGACCTTTACTACAAAATGAAATGAAATTATGAATAATTAAGTCCATTCAGTTGCGATCTGGCACCATCTGTTTGTCTGAAGAGAATACATGGAGATGAGTAAGAGTGCAGGTGTGTAGTGCAGAATATGGTCGATTTAGAGAACTCTGAGGACATCTTTACCTGACAGTATTAGAAGAGGTACATCATTCTAATGCTATCCGGTAAGATGCCGCCAGAATCCATCACAATAAATCAGTGCGTAGTGCAGTGCTACTTAATACAGAGACTATACAACACAATGACAATCTTGGGAGACTTAGCTTCGACAATATTTAGTTTACATTTACTTTACATAAAATAACCATTGGCAATTTACATTGGTGTGCAATGCCACGCAAGCTTTATTCACGGGAGCGCGGCAAAACTAGTTTTCAACTATGTTTCACTTATCAATCACTGTTCAAGCATGAAAAAAAATATATCCCATAAAAAAATCCTCCGAATGACTAAGACATATCACAATCAAATATAAATGAGGAAATTTGTCGACGTAAAACAACAGCAAATTATGTATTTTCCCAAATAATATTCTAACGCTATTTCAAATCTCCATAAAATATGTTGCAAATAAGAGTGACATATTCCTTATCATCAGTAAAACAGTTCATCTTCCCTGAACCTTTAAACTTAACATTAAGAAACCTAAGATCTAGCTATACAATTTGAGAACAGTTTGAAATTATTTCCCTGTAAAAAAAAATCAATAAGACAACTGGGTGGTACCCATGCTATAGACAATTAGGGCTTCAAAAACGCATTCAATCACAAGAAAGCCGATTTGAAATACGTTATGTTATAATGAATGCATGGAATGAAAATAAGTCCACAAAAATTGACAGATACTCCTTTTGTATCCAGCATTTTAATACTTAAAGAGCTAATATCAGACCACTGCTTTTTAAAAATCAAATCTTTTAAATGACAAGAAAAGCCCATATCAATAACTTCTACATACCCATCGAGAGATTCAATTTCAAATTTCATAAATCAACTTCAACTGTAACAAGGCATTCGCATGCATTTTAGGACTGGATTTAGTAGAGTAAATGACTTTATTAAACCTTAGTTTCTCAAATCTCACCTTTCTATTCTCAAGTCTAACAAATCGACACTGCTATCTTCCCACTGCATAGCCATAGATCTCGTCGTTAAAAAGATTCTACGTCACACGAATTTATCTTTTCACCCTCAAACTGACACACAAGTTTAAACATCCTTCCTAGTACGCAATGTACAGGAAAAATCTCTCAAAATCCGGCAAGTAATTTGCCAAGCATAAAGTAGTTACATGCTTGACTAGTTCATGAGAAAGAGTTGCTAAATAAATAACTTGTGTAATACAACTCCTAAACCTTCTAATGCAATATGGCCCCACAGAATCTAAGCATGCCTAGGTAGAGTTACCGTGCTGCAGCAGTCCACGATATACAAGGTTCCACAAACGACATCATCTTTGCTTGACAACAGTAGATAACAGATATACACAGATTGAAATCCAAGCAACAATGAACTTTCCAACTGAATGAGCATTTCATAAAGTCCCCACAAGATAGTCATGCATACATCAATGAAGATGAAGGCTTTTTTAACTTTTCATTAGCTACCTTGTCCTTCCCCCTCATGGCTCTTTCTCTAATGGCATATGGTGGCTTGGGTCCCCTAGCTACTTAATACAGGTATCTTTAGATCAAACGTCTGCTCCACTTCAAACACACCTGACTGCCTGACACAAAGTGTCATTGTGAGGCGTGGTCTAAAATTTCCTCATTACTAATTCTATAACTTACATCACTTGCTTAAAAGTCCCAACACTGTATGGCTCGACTTGGATACTTTTTACTGATACATGTACTAGAATATCAATCTTTCTCAAAGGGGAACTTCAGTTTTATGCAAAAAAATTTTTTTCTCTCAAGAGCTTGTAAAGCATTCAAAACAGCATAATAATCAGGTAAACATGTGACACAAAAAGTTGCTATACTTAGAAATGATCAATGAAAATTCTGTCCATTCAAATACTTAATGGTGTGATCAAGATGGCAACCCACAACCTTAAACAAAGAAACACACCTGTAACTAAACCTTTCCCACTCCAAGATCACTAACAAGATAACAAGATAGAAAATCAGGTAATGTGCCCCGTAAAACCCCTATAAAATCACATTTTACACATGAATATTTCACCTGTATAGTTTTAAAATGTGTCACTACAAAGGAATTTTATAAACCATGTACACAACTCATGATACACATTTACATTGCAAATAAATCATCCCTTTTTTCCCTTCTAAATATTTCATGTGCAAATAAAACCAAAGAATCTCGGTAACACATGAAAAGTTTGTGTAAAATATCAACAGAACATTGGGACTGTGTGACGGTTAGTTAAGAAATAGACAAATATTACCTCCACAAAATTTAAATGAACAACACACAAACATTGACACTCGTCTTTGTGTCTTTGCTTTATGGGAGAAAGTCAATTTTCTTTCACACACAAAAGTTAAAATAAGACCCCAATCCAAGGCAAATTTGTGTTTTCTTATTGGATTAATTCCGAAAAGCATGGTCCTTCAAATCTTTGACAACTTCCATCAACATAGCTCTCTAAGAATTACCATAAGACCTTGACTATAATAAGTAGTAAAAATTGCTTAAATTACTATAGCTAAGACAAGGAAAATATTCCTCTTAAATAAATTCTTTTTTTTCTCAGTTTTCCATGAAGAAGATAAATTACAATCATTGTTAGAAGCAAGTAAATCAAATAAAAGGCAACATCAAAGCAAAAGATCAAACATTTGTATAATGCAGGATTTGGATTTTACACATTACCTGTCTTACAATCACCTGAAGGGTGTGGCTTTCTTACAATCATAATCATCACTACAGATCCTTCTACTCCTCACAAACTTATTTTCCGAAGAATTTAAACAGATCTATTTTCCTTTAAGGAAGGCATAATTTGAAATGCACGAATGCAACTGTTGAAAAAAATCACCATGAAAAATAACAGAAATTCAATCCTCCCTATTATATACCCGGATAAGTTTGCATTTAAATGAGAAAGAATTAATATTTGGCTTCCTTATGAAAAAACTAAACCTGAACTGAATTACCTCAAGTCCTCAAGCACAGAATAATGTCCTTTAAGCATTTCAGCAATAGGGTTCAGATAAAAAATCACAGGTCTCTCTCTCCACTCAATGCTAACCTCTACTCATCCCCTCTTTAAAATGAAATTCTCCAACAATGGTTGTGGGGTGAGCGTAGCTTCGTTTGCTCTTTGGATCAGGTGAAATGTTTGAGCGCTAGGTATATTACGCTATGAAAATCTCCCAGTCAATATTGACCCAAACGTCATTAAACGTGCTTCAACAACTGCAGACTTAAGTCAACGAGAGCACAGTATTGTTAGAGTTTCCACGGGGCACAGAGTTTGTGATAGAAGGTTTTAAGTTCTCCTGTCTGATATTGAGAAAGCACAACAGGGGAATTGTATCTGCAATGTTACAAACTTACAACAAAGACCTCCTGTATCAAAAACATCCAGCTTTAAAAAAATTTCAAAGCATACCTTGGAACATTAAAAAAAACAAATTAAAGCCATATTTAAAATGACACAAAAAATAGTAAGTTTTAAAACATGGTACACACAAAGTTTAAGCCCACATCCCAATAGTAACAAAATATTGATCCTGAACCTGACTCTGCATTTTCTTAAAGACAATGTCTCCTATTTTGATCCAGGATCAATACCACAAGGAAACAAAGAGGTCCCGCTTTGCAGGAGCTGGAAATATTACACACAAATTTACAGGTACATGTGCTCCTTCAAATTCCCCCTGTATTGCACAATTATCAGTACAAAAAATGGAAAAGGTAAAAACTTCAGAAGTGCTGAATCAAACACCGTAAATCTTCACTTTGTTGACTCTACATGGCTAAGGGGACTTTCAATCTCCCACGAGTCACGCAAACTCTCTGCCAGATAAAAGATCCAACATTTCTAAATCATATAAAAAATTCTCCAAGTTTGGAAAATTTAAACCAAGGCCTCATAAATTGTGTAACATTATTTATTTTTACATAAAAGGAGAAAAAATATTTGTTTTTCTTTTTTTAAATATCCAATATTAATAAATATACCTCAAAAAAGAAAACACTTTGCCACTAATTATCAGACCGATAAAAAAAAGAATGTCAGTGGTCAAGAAATCAATACTGTGTTTATACCAGGACCGGGTCCTTTCAAAGAGGTCTAGTATTGAGCTTAAAAAAGGTCATTAAATCTATCAGAAGAGAAGAGATAACTCTTTTGTTTGTTACAAATATTTGTCAACCGAGATAACAAAGGAAGAAGTGCCAACACAGGATTATAATGGTACCACACCGTGATCAATAAATCGTACAAAGGTAGAGCGCTCGTTACCTCCCAGGGGAGCCAGCCCTCACCTGATTCTCCGGTCACCATCAGGGGGGAATGATCACCGACACCTCCATAAAAAGTAACCCCACAAAACATCAATCATAAAGTAACATACCAAATTGTCCAAATTATGGATCAAACATTCAAAAGAAGTTCAACAGTGTTGTTTATTGTGCAATTGATCAGCCCCTGTCATCTCACGTAAAACACATCACTTAGAATTTCCTTCTTCCAAGTTGATTATCATTTCTTTTTGTGGGTCTCTCATTATATATGTAAATTATTAATGTTCAAAAGCAAAGTTTGAATTCCTTGTCTGGGTCTGGCAGGACAGAGGCAGGAAAAGCCATTAAATTTCACAAAGGTTTTGACACCATTTTTCAATCTCTATATGACAAAGCAAACTCCACACAACTTCCTACTTTAACTTACCAATCTCACATCTCTATACGGACCTCCAAGGCAAAAAAGAGAATCAATTTATTTCCAAAAAAATCAATGAAGATCCATCGCTTTCTTATACATTTTCTCCCCTTGGTGTCATTTCACCTTAAATTGCTGTGTCAGAATTATTACCTTGCTTGGTGTAAAAATATTGATATTGACCGAAACATTTTTGGAATATATCACAACTGACTGTAAAACATTATGTTTGAGATGGAATGATAATAGTCAAATCTCAATACAATTTTGTTTACATTCATGCAGGAGTAGAAAATCATGAGAGTTTCAAATGGAAAATCTCTGCCTTATATACTTATAATTTTCAAAAGCTTCCGAGTTTTTGCAATATTCTAACATGAATAAATTCAAAAAATCATTGTTAGCAGAAGCTTTTCAAAGCTTAAAATGGAAAATTAAAACCAAAGCAAATGGTACTTATGTTGATTGCCACAAGTGCATGCTCTAATAGAAAAATTCACTGGAGGTCAACGAAATCAAATAATCTCATTTAATCTCCCAATTCATTTTCTTTCAATGCCTCTGACTGTTATCTTTAGGGATCAATGGACTCTTAAAATAACTTTCAGGGAAATTTAAATATTAGTAAAGGCCTCCCAATGTCCTAATATTTAAAAAATGAAGGTCGGAGAATAAACCACTTGAAAGTGCTTGCACACTAGATAATTTTCTGTCTTGACATGATTTTTGCACCTATCAATGTAGAGATTCTAAAATTGACCAACTCTATTGACTTAACCAGGTTAATATTTTACTTAAAAGAATTTAATCAATGTATGCTTTTGGTGGGTCAGCTGAAAACTGGTGACCCATAATTACTCTCAAAATGGACATTTTACTCTCAACATGTATCTATGGACACAGATTTTTTTTTTAAAATTATACCAAAAGACAAATTGGAAGGCCCTTCCAACCCTTTAAATAAGAATGCTTTTAGACTGATATGAAACATGATAAAATATAACTTAAGCCTAAAGAAAAGGTTATTATTTCCTTGCTAGTTAAATCAAATAAGGAAATATATGTTTCCTTTTCATTTTTCCTTTTTAAATTTCTCAACCTTTGTTAAAAGAATGTGTATATAAATGCTGTTTTATACCTTAACAATCAGCAACTATAGCCACAAAGAGCAAGGGTAGAATTTTCAACACAGATATTGTTTATAAATGAAAAAAGTTCAAGTCAAAGGGATTTTTTCAAATATTTATTTTTGGGCAGTGGGGGTGTTTGGGATTGGTGGATGTTAAAAAATTCTTTTTTTAATTTTAAAACGCTTAAAATTCTTTTTGCTAATTTTCAATGATTGAAAAGGAAGATATTGGTACTTTCTTCAATATATTTGATACCTCATTATCTCAGGACCCCCGCCCCCTTCCCACACATGCAAGTCAAAATCATTTAAGAAGTTAAAATGTAAAAATCTAATAAACAGATGGTCAGAAAATTTGAGAAGAGTATTTGTTTTGTTGTTGATGGGGTTTTTTTTTTTCAGCTGTCAACTGTATCAAAAAACCCTTTTCCATCTATTTCAAAGCAAAATTATGAGAGAAGATTTGTAAGGCTGGTGAAATACATATGCTATGTCTGTGTGATGTACTAGTACCGGTATATACACGTAATTAGGAGAACAGGTAAACACTGATAACAAAAAACGAGAAATCGGGCCCTAAATCAAGAGATAATGTCTCCCATAAGATCTCAATTTTTCATCTATACACATATATTCCTGTGGCCCCCAGTATAAATAATGAAATATCAAAGTAACAGAGTCTAATGGAAAACTCACAAAAGCTTCCAGGGTTTATGTAATTCCCCACAGTTCAGTACCCACCTCAATAGAAAAGCT